AATTAAATTTATATTTAAAAAACTTACAAATCCACAGACCCTTGTCTTAACATGGATATTGTGATATCTATTTCACTCCCAAAATCAACAGCAACGCTCAAACAAGTTGTCTGGCTTTCAGCCAAACACTATACTATTTCGATTGCTCTAGTTTCCCAGAATCAACAGGTCTCATCTGATTTTAAAACCTACAGAATTGTAGTATTAAGATCCATATTAAGTTTAAAACATGCTAAAAATAGAAAATAACACGTTTATACCTTTACCTACGACCGTTTTTTAAAGTAGTCGTTTCAGTACAGTTCTTAGATTTGAAAAGTATCTCATAACAGCATTGTTCACCTTCATAACAGCATAGTTTTACTCATAACAACACGGGTAACGGACCAATGAGGTTCAAGGATTGAGAGAGGATAATTAAAACTGTAATGATTCGAATTTAAACTAATCAGCTGTTCAGGCCAATTTAATAATTGTTGATTGGTGCAATTAGTGTTTGATACAATGTTTCGTTGCATCACTGTCAGTAGCAATGAGATATAAAAAAACCAAAACATAACCTCTCTTAAATGTTATGAGTATTGATTTTTAGTATTTAAAACACTGTCGTAGGTAAAGTAGTGTACGCAACTCGCGTAACTACTATTACATACGCAAGTTTTTTTTTAAAGTAGCTTTTTCAGTTCAGTTCTTAGAATTTACAAGTTTCATACAACAGCATTGCTTACTTTCATAACAGCACAGTTTTACTTATAACAACACTAACGGACCAAGTAGGTTCAAGGATTGAGAGAGAAGAAGTAAAATTGTAATGTTTGAACTTGAACGAAGTTCAGGCAAATTTAATTTTTGAGTGTTGCAATTAGTGTTTGGTACAATGTTTGTTGCATCACTGGCAGCGGCAATGGGAGGTTATAAACGAAACATAACCTCTCTTAAAAGTTATGAGTATTGATTTTTAGTATTTAAAACACTGTCGTAGGTAAAGTAGTGTAGGCAACTCGTGTAAACTTAATACTGTTAAGACACTCGTAGTTTTTTAGGCACTCACCAAGGCCTTAAATTTAAGGTCACCAAGGACCTTAAATTTTCTACTCGTTAACACTATCTTTACACAATCGTTGCTTAAACTATACTATTATCTAAATAAAAATACAAGACAATCCTTTGAGATTTAAAACATTATCAACATATAGTATTCTTTTTATATAGGATGTCAATAATAATATTACGGTTTTTTTCATTTAAGGGAAAATGATTTACACCCCTAAAATCTTATGATGTGCCAGTAATCGAACCTGTACCTCCTACATCAATGTCAAAGAACAAAAGCACTAGAATAGCAAAACGTCTTAAAAAGAAAATCGTTCAATATTTTGCTTTTACGTTTAAAAATTAGTGGTTCAATCAAATGTTAAAAACTAAGAGTTTGAAAAACATGCAAATAAACAATAATTAAAAAAATAATATGATTAAAAGTTATATTACCACTCAAAATGTCAAACAGTTCAACAACAAAGTTTTGCATAGAGTACACACAGCTGATGTACTTTTTACTACCAATTTGCTACAAAGGCTAATTACACTCGATAACATTGTGTGTTTGGTAAACAATGACTGAGGGAAGGGCTTTGCACGTAATGTGTAATGTTGTGTTTAATAACATCCCGGGCTAGTGGAAACATTAACCCTGATATACGAGAAGAACAGCATCACAGCCTCCAGCTTGATTAACCATTGTACGCTGGGGCTTCTATATCAAAACGTGATTTTATTAAAGTTAATTTAATATTTTATTACATAATAATTAATATTTTGTAATCTGCTCGTGTTATTGTACTGTACGGTTGTATTTTAAGGTAATCAAAAGCGTTTGGTGGATGTTTAATGATTTTACTGCAGCAAAAACAGCCGTTTTTAATGCATCCATTGCGGGTCTAAAGTATAATTTTTACTCTATGTAGAAATAATTTTTAGTCTCTAGGGAGTAAAATCAGCTGTTGTCAACTCAGTTGTAAATTTCGGTTGTAAACAAAATTGCATGTATTGAAAATATGTATCGATTGTAGTTAATTGTTGCCTTATTGCTTCGGGTTCACCTCGATCGTAAAACTTGGGCTTGGGTCAAAAGGAGTAAATTAAGGAGTGGCTGATTTTAGTGGTATTTGCAATTAAATTAAATTACTAATTTCCACTGGCATTTACATATCTGGGAATTTTCACTTTCTTTCTATTGAAAACATCTTAGTATTATTTTAATACATATTATATGGAAGTTTTGAAAAAAAAATTATAATAAAAATTCTGAAAGCTTTTTTTTTTTGTAAAAAAGCTATATTTATTTGTGTATATATACACAAATAAATATACATACATATTACTGCATTAATAATTTTTCACTGTCGATTTTGGAGCCTCAATATGATTCTACATCCTAAATTAAAATATATGCCTGTTTTTAAATTAAATGCTTCCCCCATTGAGTGCTAATGATTTAATTATATGTGGGTTATTCTAGAGCGTACTCTCTTAATTTGTGCTTGGTTGCAAAGCAAAAATTTACTAGTAAAAAGCGTAATGTTATTAAATATATCAAATATAGGAATTAAATACTTATTATTGAAAATTACTCTTAAAATCTGATATAAGCTCTCAAAAATAAGGCATCCATAAACCCTTTTACCCAAATAACCTGTATAACAGTGATATATTGAAATTTTACATAAATCATTCCATTATTTAAAAATTTGCAAATAAAAGCTTAAATGTGTGTAAGTAAAGTATCTTGGAACACATTTTTATTCATACAATTTCATATATTTTAACTAATTATTTTAACTAAAACGCACACTTATTTTAATAATTTTTTTTTCAAATTTCAAAATTGTAGATAGTATTTTGTTTTTGAAATAGTAATCCAGAGAGCAAAGTAAATTAGTTAATTGTTTCGTGAAAGTGTTGCCAACTTAAAGGTTGATGACAGACAACGTAGAAAGTCTCTTGGAGTAATGCCATTTTGTTTTCACGTTAGATAAATACTTACTTTCACAGCATCTTGGAGGAGCTTAACTCAGTATGTAAACTAAGTCTAATTTGGTATGGATCTGAGGATTTGATCTTACATTGAGTGATAGTTTTTTTTTTTCATTAGACTCAGATATTTCAATTTTTAATTTGAAATTAGTCTTAAATATGGGTAGAAACTTTCTAAAGGAAACTTTCCATACACCTAATGTTAAAAGTACCTTATCTGTTTTATTTGTTTGTTATTTTTTCAATTTATTACCTTTTTAAATTAGGTGTAATTATTTGTTTGTATTACTGTATTCTGTTTTGTTTATTTCAGCTTAACTTACCCAAGTTGTATTAATACTTATGAAGTCAAAGGGGGTGAAGCCCGTGGGTAACAGCTAGTTTTACTAACTATACATGGTATTTATATTTAACCAATTACAGCTCAAGCTAAATGACAAACAGTAAGTTTTCTCATCAAATCGCAGATTTACTTTAGCGTTAAGGGATTTTAAAGTTTTAGTTTACTTGCTACAGTAGTTAGTCGTATAATTAAGGAGTGGGCTTCAAAACGAACCGAAACGTTTGCAGAAAATCTAATGAAAGTTTCAAAGTACTTATTTAAATCCACAAAGCTATAAAAGTCGCTAATCAATTTTCAAAAAGCTTTAAAATATTTATAACCAATTTAGTTGACATTTTAAATTTGCAATTCCGATGGAACTTTATATACAGGGTGTCCCATAATACTCCCTTTGGTTATTTTTTGATCGGCTGCATATATTCAAACGAGCTTCAATACATGTTACTAGGGTAATCTAAAGTACTTTTTTGGTGGTATTTTGAAATTCCCCATTTGGAAGAGGGCCCAAATGCTGCTTAGGTTAGCTTACAATTTTGAATGTCAACCCCTATCAAGTAGCACATAATTTTAAAGTGCTTTAAACAAGGAATTACATGCCTCAAATCCGACTTTGCTACAATGAATTTTCAAATTTTATGGCAATAAATGTTAGACGTTAATTTAACTGGAACTTACATTCCATCACTTTTATTTTTTCATGGCTGTAAAATGTTAAATAACCTTCAGTACACGTGACCAGGGTAATTTCACACACTTTTTAACATGATTTTGAATTTCATCTCCAACCCCCAAACAGGGGTTGCTGGTGGGGTTTTGATTTATTTAAATATCTAAACCTATTTGGGGGTGGGGATGAAATTAAAAACATATTATTTACACAATGCTTCCTTGATTCATCAAAAACTATTTTTCAAGACCACTTTACCACAGTATCTTTTACAAGGGTTGGTTTTCGTCAATAGAATCTCCTCGAGGCACTTCCTTTTGAAACTCGTGGAATGTTTAATATTGTTGTTAAATTGATATAAACCCTGGTCACGTTCTCCAAATACTTTTTCCCAGGACGTCGATAGCATCTATCTTGGCTATCGATTCTTTTACTTGTCTTTGGTTTTTAAATGTTGATTTATGTATCAAGATGTGGTTAATGAGTGAGTCAACAAAATTGCGTTTCCTACACATGTGTAAAATGTGAACAGGTTTTTTATACGAAGTATTGAATAGTATTTCATCCTCAAAACTTTTGATTCAGACGTTAAATTTTCCTTGAGTTGAACTTAAACCCTTTTTCACACATTTGGAATTGTCTGGTATCTTCAAATATAATAAACTATATTACAGTTTGTCAGAAAAAATACATCACCTCAAATATCAAACCAAGATTCATTTGAAAGATTTAGTTGGGTACATGTCAAAACGTAAAACAATAAGAACTTTTAACCACACTCAGAGTCATACAGAATTTTCCTGTATGCAGTGGAAAGTTTGAAAAGTGTGGTGATGAGAAAGTAAGCAAAACGTATAAAAAACAGTTTTAGCACTTTTCCAAACGTAATTTCCAACACTAATGCCCAAAGTGAAGTTCAATAGCTTATCATTGATGTATGAAGAGGATAATAATTCATTCAAAGCAAAAATATTAACGTTTATTTCTAAATAAATACCTTTTACAAATTATAACATTACATTAAAAAGGATGTTCAAGAGGACGTTCAAGGTAAAGAAACTCACGTTGAGGGGAATATGTAATGCATTTGGTCTTTTACCAGCACATTTATGAAATTAAACATGTATAAAGTAAACTATTGATATTAAAATACAAACATTCATAAAGTTTGCTTAAGAGTAACTGTTTTACCAGATGTTTAAACTTCAGAATTCCGAGAAAAGAGAGCGTTTGATAAAAGCAACGAATATCTACGTAGTAAAAACTATACTTATAAACCCATTTACTAACTCTAATTCTTTGGAATGTACACTATGACTAAATTAACAAAACATGCCGAAGTTACCCGCAGTTCCTTAATCTCGTCTGAAAGACTTGCACTCGCGAGTCATGTACAGGGGAACATTCAGAGAATGCAGACGGACTGATACTTATGTCTAACTATTGTGGGGGTGGGGTTGAGGGTGGTTAGTTGTGTGCCGGCTCAGCGGGGGCGGCGGGGGCAGCGTTTCTCTTCACAAAACTGCCGAACCCTGACCTGTCGATTTCGTCAAAATTCCGCTTCACGAAGCTTCCAAAACCGGATCGATCTATTTCGTCAAAGTTCTTCTTGATGAAGCTGTTGAAGCTGCTCCTGTCTATCTCGTCCATGTTCCGCTTCTGGTTGCCGATTCCGATGCCGCTGTGAACAAAGTGGAAATGAAAATGTGAAATGAGAACAATAAACACATGTAATTTCAGCATTCATAGCTCCGGGTTGTGAAATCAATAATTAATTAAAACATACCTTGTAAATTTGTCATCAGCACTAGTTGACGACAATGTTAAGGGGTTTGGGAAAATCGTTATATTTTCTTGTTATTTTACCAACTTTGTATGTGTTAACACTAGATAAATTGATTTACAAACTTATTGCTTGTCATCTGGTATACTAACTAGTTTAACACACACTGGAAAATCAAGCCTCGTATAAGGGATTAGAATCGATATCAACGCACTCAACTGCTTCCAGATACGAAAAACAGAACGAAAAACAAGCTTTAAACTTTGGAATTAGATTCCGAATATTCTTTAACTCTCCAGTATGTTATGCCTGATCATAAACATCATGATAATTTTCTTTCGTGAGTACAGCATATCGTATGCAGCAGATTGTGTAATTCTGAGTATGACTGAAATTGGAGATATTGAAGATACCGGAACTCTAATTTTAACATAAGAAAAAAAATAGCACAGTCATTTGTCTGAAGTTGTATATAAAGTCGAGCATAATGAGCTTTACTTCTTAATTAAAAGCTTTTTTTTTAACGGAAACCTACTTTACTGAGTGCCGGATATAATAAGATTAAATATCAAAGGTTCTGAACTTGTAAGTGTAGAATTGTTTACGATATTGTTTAAATGATTACCCAATATACTTAAATACAAGATTATAAACTGCATTAGATTGATTTCAATCCAATTGACAGAATAGTTAGAACTGTAGAAATTAATATACTTATTAAACAACCATAATATGACGTTGACAGGCGAATTATAAGATAAGATTACTTTCCTGGGTTTAACTGGATGAGGGAAGACGGATGTGGCTCATATTAGATTTTATATTTACGTTACAAACATACACACCCGGTCTCTGACAAATGGGCGTTAGGATGAAATTAATCGTATTAATGAAACTGTTATCATTATATTACGTGTCTAGTAAAATTACTAATTAAGACATTTTGGGGTTCATTTTAACGATTAAGATTTATTTTTATAGGTTCGTTGGCTTTTCATGAGAGAAACCTTTAGAACTCTGACTGATCTGGTTGCCGAAGAGATATTTTATTTACAGTACATGCATGAATGGATGATGGAGACCAAATCATGGAACGATGGCCATGGAATTAAAGGAGTAGTTTTAGTAATTTTAAGCATCGAGGAAAAAGTTTACGCTATAACCGGGGCTATAGCGCTATAACAGCTAGATCAACAGTGTTACTTACATTCCTATTTATATGTAATATCTTTGTAACTAATCTGTATCTAAATTCTCTTCAAATCTATAATATATATTTATTATACTGGGTGACAAAAAAGTCTGGAAACTGCTTGATATCTTTTTAACTAAATTCGTTAGAAAATTCAAACCTTTCACATCAACTTATATGTATGAAAACTACTTTTTGCAAGTATTACCATTTTTTTACCTTCACCAGGGGACGGCCCACGAGGAGTAGGTACATAATCTTTAATGTAAGCATAGGTTGATATGCACATCATTTTAAAGGTCTGGTCAAGTGGAGTTTATTGCCGGAAACCGCGTCAAAAAAGGTTTATTCGTTACAAAATGGCGGCATTTCAAAGTTCTTGCGGAATATACCTGCACAGGCCTTAGTAATGGTAAATACTCATAGTCAAAATTAGCCGGGAAATCTGAAACCCGTTTAAATTTGTTTTGAAGATTGAATAAACTTAGTCTATGGGCTAGTTGACTTTAAAATACAATTTCAGCTCTCAAGATAATGTTTAATACGAGTATTTACCAATATTAAGGCCTGTAAAGGTATATTCCACAAGAACTTTAAAATGCCGCCATTTTGTAACGAATGAACCTTTTGAGATGCGGTTTCCGGCAATGAACTCCACTTGACCAGACCTTTAAAATGGTGTGCATATCAACCTATGCTTACATTAAAGATTTTGTACCTACTCCTTACGGGTCGGCCCCTAGTGGAGGTAAAAACATGAAAATGCTTGGAAAAAGTCGTTTTTATACATGTAAGTTGATGTTAAAAGTTTGACTTTTCTAACGGATTTAGTTAAAAAGATATTAAGCCGTTTCCAGACTGTTTTGTCACCCTGTATATATTTCCATGGAATGGCAATTTAGTACCGTTTTTAAGGACACAACACTGGATAAGAAACTCTGCCTTATAATTTTAATGGTTGCTATTCGAAGAGCTAATTAATAATTTTCTGGTGTTAGTAAAGTAGGCTCTCTTACAAGCATGTAACTTATATTGAGTTGCTATTGAATTACCTGATGAAACCCTGTTTTAGAGCCAAGAACCACTCTTGCTCTACTGATACCATAGACAAAAAGAATTAAATGTAGACAGACAGCAGTGCTGTAGTTAGCATGCATTCTGGCGTCCACCGCTAGGAGCACCGTGCCAGAACTTATGCTAATCGCAGCACTGCTGTCGGTCTACATTTATTTATATTTGTCTATGCTGATACTCTGTGAATGACTTGAATGACAAATCCGATAGTTTCGCCATACCTCAGACTATCGCAGCAGCCGCTCCTCTTGTTCCCCAGCACAGGCTCCAAGTAAGCTTGAGGTCTCTGGTCGCGACTGAGGTAAGCCGCTCGACTTCGGAGCATATCCAAGTCCCTGAGTAGATTTCCACCTCCTGAAACAAATTAAGATCATGATTGGTTCCAAAAGGTTGTAATTAGGATTTATATGTATAGAAATATAATTGAAGTGGTCAGGGTATCTTTGAGACTGTAAAAGTGATTCAGGCAAACATCTTGTCGTTTGGGCTTGACTTTTTCTCAAAGCTCCGGAAGGTATTGGCCTTTGGAGTTGATGAAAATTCCTTCTGAATACGGGATTCCAAAGTTGGAGCTTTTGAAATAGTGTTTAGCCTTAGTTGAAAAAAACTTTGTTCGTATTTTCACAATTTACATATCTTGCTTGGGCTTCATTTTATTATTTCATTTAAATTTATTATGCCCAATTTTCACCTAAAATGTGCTTAAAATTCTGTGTCCCACTCCATTTAGAAAAACAAGTTAAACCCCTAGAGTAGTATTTTTTTTATCTAGTCAGAAATTAGTAGGACCAATATTTGTCTAAATGTTATCAAATCGTAAAAAAATAAAATGTTTTTGCTATTCTGAGGAAAGAATATCAGTGTAAAAACTGTAACGTTTTACCAACTATATAGTAACAATTGTGTATGGCTACTTTAATAAAGCTGGAAATTGTATAAACGAATTTGATTTCATACAAAATACTTTTACTTAAATCCAACACAAACAAAAATAATGAATTATATTACTAAGTGTTAACAGTATACTTGTTTTACTTACCCTTATCAAGGCCATGCAGGGTGCAGTAGTTACCATGCTGTCATGCTTTCGTGTGTTTCATGCACTAATGTGAGTTATACATTAAACATGCAACTAGTGACAACATGCGCAGTATAATTGAAGGTATTTTTGTGTAATGTATTTAGTCAAATTACATTGTATTTCAAATAATATTTACTATAAAACTTATATATTTTCTTGTTTACACGATACACTTTTTATGGTAAACATTATAATCTCATTAATAAGCTGTTTTAAATGTAACATTTAGTTTAAAACAATTATGTCACTATCATAAGTAAAGAGATACTCGTTTAAAATAAACAGTCAGTGTATCAAAACTTGAAATCTCATAGTTATTCTAGTTGTTTGTTTTAAGATGTACTTAAATAAAAATTAAAAAGTATGTGACCATTTTCACTGTAAATTTGTATTAGAACTCCAAACTGAATTTATATAAAATTATTGTTAGGACTATATTTCTTCTTCCGCACCTTTTAATTAAATGTTTTGACTAATCAATGATTATTTTGAAGAAATAAACAAACGGAATCTTGGATTAATATACAATAGTTTATTCATAAAATAAAATTTTGCATCGTCATTGCACATGCTACATAGCAGGTAGCATGAGTAATAATGTACTCAGAGTCAACATAATTAGTGTTTTATTTAGTTTATAATGATTTCCAAGTATGTACAACTGAGGTTAGACACTCATGTTTAACTTATCTCTCGTAGCCTGTGAGCGAGTAGGGTTTGTAAAGTTTGTTCAGGTCAATAATCCCTCTAAAAGGAGCTTCTGTCTGATCTTCATCCGGCGTTGTTTGTTGTGGTCCCTCATTTAATACTCCCATATCATCGTTTACATCAAGTTTGGTTTTCTCTTCTAGCCACCAGGGAAAAGGTGCCTGCATCTTATTGCTCTTTAAATCGTTGAACGAATATGTTTTTTGCATTTTTGTTCCTTGATTTTGTAACATTTCCCTAGGCAAGTAGCTTAAAAACCATCTAGCACTCGGACATATACACCTAGCAGGTAATCTTTTATCGTATAATTTCTTGTATGCAGAGTAAGATGACGGAAAACTGTTCCATTTTATGTTCTGTTTCTCCACATTATTATCTAAGCTTTGTTTAAAGTACGAATTGTACTTATTTCCAACTTCAGTTTGACCTCTTTTTGTATTCAAAAGATGACCACCTCCTATGGAGTCTAAATCCTTCTTGTAGTTTAGAAGATGACCTCCACCAATGGAATCCAAATCCTTTTTATAGTTTAGAAGATGGCCACCACCAATAGAATCCAAATCCTTCTTGATGTTTAGAAGATGTCCTCCACCAATAGAATCTAAATCTTTCTTTGAAATCAGGAGATGGCCTCCTCCTATAGAATCTAAGTTCTTCTTATGTACACAAAGGGCATCACTCTTAGTAGAATAAAAGTCATTGCCGTAACTTAGGACATCATCCCCATCGATATAATCCAAATCCTTCTTATAATTTAGAAGATGACCTCCACCAATGGAATCCAAATCCTTTTTATAGTTTAGAAGATGACCTCCACCTATAGAATCTAAATCCTTCTTATAGTTTAGAAGATGACCACCACCAATAGAATCCAAATCCTTCTTGTTGTTTAGAAGATGCCCTCCACCAATGGAATCCAAATCCTTTTTATAGTTTAGAAGATGGCCCCCACCAATTGAATCCAAATCCTTTTTATAGTTTAGAAGATGGCCTCCACCTATAGAATCTAAATCCTTCTTAAAGTTTAGAAGATGACCCCCACCAATGGAATCCAAATATTTTTTATAGTTTAGAAGATTACCCCCACCAATTGAATCCAAATCCTTTTTATAGTTTAGAAGATGACCACCACCAATTGAATCTAAATCCTTCTTTAAGTTTAGAGGATGACCACCACCGATAGAATCCAAATCCTTTTTATATTTTAAAAGATGCCCTCCACCAATACAGTCCAAATCTTTTGTGTAAACTAATAAATGGCCTCCTCCGATTGAATCTAAGTCCTTCTCATCTCTTAGACTATTATCAAAATCGTTGTTGGTTCCATAACTGGGATTTATTTGCTTCATAGAATTCAAGTACTGTTTATAATTCAAAACGTCACCTTTATTCCCAAATGGCTGTAACAAATTTATCATTTTATTACTCTCCCCTTCGACTTCGTTTGACTTTTTTGTATTCAATAGATGTCCTCCTCCAATACCATCCAAATGTCTAGAGAAAGTTGGATTTTGCAATCTGTCAATTTTTGGAAACGAATTTGTGACATATTTTTGTAAGAAATCCTCACTGCAACGTTTGTTTAGTATACAGTTTAAAACCACAGTAGCTGAGTCCGGATTTTGAAGAAGATTTTTGATTCCCTTTTTGTTTGTAAAGGAGTTTTCGGTACGCGTTGGGTATTCTCGGACAACACCAAATGTTTTAGGACTTGCACGACCTAGCATGTATGCATCCACATCAGACGGAACCAAACCTTGCTCCAATTCAAAATCCCGAACCAAATGTCCACCACCAATCCCGTCCAAATGTGAACTCGAGCCAAGATCAAATTTCAAGTATGGACCTGTCTGCTGGTTCTCGTTGTCTTGAGTCTTACTCAAGAAGCCAAAGAGTGGCCTCACTTCATCTCTCGCATCTGAAAACAAATGCCTTTTATGCGTTTTTTAGTACTTAATTGTATATGTAGGTTAAAAGAAAAGAACATCATAAAGTAAGAAAATAAAAACATAGGCTACTGAAAATCTTAAAACCAGTTATTTAAAATGATGTTTTTATTGATAGTGGGTTTATTTTCTTTATAGAACGATGCTGTATTGATCTTTACCTACGACCGTTTTTTTTTTAAAGTAGCCATTTCAGTTCAGTTCTTATAATTGAAAGGTTTCACTTAACAGCTGTTTACTTTCATATCAGCATAGTATCATTTCATATCAGCATAGTTTTTCTCATATCAACACAGGTAACGGACCAATGAGGTTCAAGTATTGAGAGAAAAGAATTAACATTGTAATGCTTCGAACGTCAACTAATCAGCTGATCAGCTGATCAGTTGACAATTTTAATTGTTGATCTTACTTGTTCCTGTTGATACTCGCGTATTCTTAACCTAAGTTGATGGAAGTTAAAGGAAGGTAGACTAAACTGTTTTAAATTTAGTGAAAGTGAAGTTGACGAGATGGAAATGAGAGCACAAACTGCTTATAATATTCTATGATATTCGATGCTGAGATCTAACTGTAAATTAACTCTTTCACTATAATCATTCAGTTGTCCACAAAAAAAATTAAATGCAATATTTCCCTAATTGTACCTGATACAGTATTTATGGTAAGAATGCTGCTAGCAGAACCTATTCCCTGAAAAAGGTAACTTATTATTTAACGAAGTTTTACAAACACGTGATTACATGAAATCAGCTGATTATACAATAAGTCGTTGCATCACTTTCAGTGGCACTGACAATAAACGAAAACATAAACTCTCTAAGAAGTTATGAGTAGTGATTGTTAGTAACTAAAAACCAGATTGTTAGTAATTAAAAAACTGTCGTAGGTAAAGTAGTGTACGCAACTCGCGTTAATAGTCTTTACGACACTCGTAGAAGTTTTTGAGGCACTCGCCAAGGCTCGTGCCTTAAATTTTCTACTCGTGTCGTAAAGACCAACTTAACGCAATCGTTGCGTAAACTACTATTACCATTACATATTGCCATTTTGTTTAGTGATAAATGATAATGGATGGCTTGATAGACAATTTTACTTTTGGTTATGACATTTAAATAGTCTAAAAATTACAATTCCATCAAGATAATACGGACCAACTCATGAAATATGACTATTTATAGCAAATAAATAGGAATTATTCCAAATACTCGCTTCCATAATCGTTAGGAAAAAAATAGATTCAATAAAAAGATCTATTTCATTTAAATGTAACACTAATGTGTCAATAAAATTAAGAAAACAAATTTATTCGGTAGCAAATACAATCTACAAACTAACATTTCACAGTTGTGATGTGCTTAAGGGATTAAAAAGTGCGTGTTTTAAAAATATAATACATGCACATACACAAACAGATAACATATAATTTATCTAAATTAAAAAGAAATGAACCAATAATAATTGACTGTGCTCACCAATCCCATCCAGGTTGCGAACGTCTTTTCCATAGGAATCCTGGATCTCATGAAGTCTGTTGTAGTAAGCATCGTCATCCTGAACAAACCATACAATGAAATTAGTAAAATGCATTGTTGTTTTCAACTGATGGCAAGTTCCTAATTTTTATCACGGTTATGCTGAGCATCTATACAGGCTTATTGTGATTAATTATTGTATGTTCCATTCCCTGTCCATACCAGATTCTTGATCAACTTAGAGATTTTCTTTGATTATGATTCCTGACTTTCCCTTTGGTGTGTTCCTGATATGCCATGAACTGTTGTGCGCAAATTAAACAAGTTTAAGCATTCCAAAATTATGTGGAAGGTTGTGGCTTTTTCCTCAATTAGTTTCCTGCTTACGAGGGCTTTAAATTGAAATTCCTATCGTGTTTAGGAGCAAGAAGAAAATCCAGTGGCTGCTTATTATAGTCTAATGATTTCCGTAGAGGACCTTCTGCTCCACCACTGCACTAGTAGCCCAAGTAGCCTCCTCTGCACATTTTATGTTAACCCGTTAAATGATACTTTTAACAGCTACCTAGCAAATCAAAGCTAATCACAGGAATAGGTGGGTTTCACATAGGATTCCACCCAGGGTGGAATTAGCTTTTTGATAGCCTACTCTGAAAATGAGACAACCCTTAATTGGTTTAATCTAAACCAAATGACGATTTCCATGGCGGGGTGAATACTAAGCAAATGTATGTATTCGTGGAAGATTATGATAATTTTACCTCCTTACAGATAAACAGTTTCAGAAAACTCGACTGCTACAATTAGTTCGATCTCACATTCAATTTGTAAACACGATGTATCTGTTACATAAATTTACATTGTCAATTACCATACTGAGCAAACACTAGGAACGTTCTTGAACCAAATTGTGTTATCCTTGTTTCAGTTATAACGAGAACATTTCTCTGTGTTCTCAGTTAATGTTTTGCGAACGTTGAATGTTGATTTATTAATATAACGAATATTTCAGATTTATTCGAATATTTTCCCATATAACTCCAAAATAATTATTTTGTATGTTAAAAATATGATGGCAAACCCATACCTTGAAATAAAAGATACCAATGATGTATTACACCTATGTACTAGGAGAATTTGTATATATATATATTGTCAAAATTCAAACCAAAGGGTTACACATTAATTAAAATTTACCGATTCGGATTTTTCATAGTATTTTAGTTGTTGGAAAAATGTTTAATAACCCCAATGGTTTGATTGGGTTTTTGTTTTGTGAACCCATTTAAACGGGTTAAATCAAAATCAAATAGTTTTGCAAAATCTAAGGTACAGTAGATGTATGGGTATAACTATTCGGATGAATGGCATTTTTGCTTTTTGCCATGAAAAGTAACTGAGTTTGATTTAACATATAGCCAATTTTCTGAAAAGACACAATTTTGCTTAGGTAACTAACTACAACAATTTGGAAAAATTTCATCATGTTTTGTGATACAAATCAAACATAGCTTTGGTGTAAAGTGGTATTAATCAGGAGCATTCTAGTTATAAGCGGGAAAGTCAGTCAAGTAGAAGTTATTTAACTCAAGAAGATTTCTCAGAGAGTATCAAAGTAAGCTTAGAAATTTTAATATAAATAACTTTTACTACTTGACAGAACCGCGGGTCCCACAAGTTCAACTTTCTTAAGTAGTATAATTAAAATTTGGTAGGAAACTTTAATGGAATTTTTTTTCTTAATATCATTAATTAGTTTCACAGTTCGTTGTTAAGAATTTGAAAATATCACTATGATTGTCTTATTCACAGTAATGACAATCATTTTTACTCACATTTAAAATAAGCGTTTTAGATTTACACTTGCAAGTATATAGTCAACATGTTTTAGTTTACTTGGTTTCCTCAGAAAATCAACCGAGGTATAATTGTCACTTAAGCTATACAGAAAAATATGAAGAAAAATAAAGTTTTTTTAACGTAAAATGCAAAATAAACCTATACTCTATTGGATACCGACTCAATTTCTTGAAAGAAAATTATTTCCTACTAGAAAATTAAGAAACTTAATGGTGATAGTAATTTTAAAATTTAAAATTAAAATTGAATCAACTGGAAAAAAAGCAATTAAACGTAAAATCTCTTAAAATACAAAATCTTAATGTAATTTATTAAAGAATATTTAGGCCTTCAAAGCATTCATCTGCGTTGAGGTTTCAGTACAGTTTAGTTCCTCTGATTTTTAGCACAGGAAAATTACTTCCAATTTACATAACCAACTTCCAGTTGAAGACACGTTAAAACATTAATAATTGTATAGAATTATCTTATCTTAGTAATATTATAAATCTGAAAGTTTGTGAGTTTGTGTGTATGTTTGTGTGTGTGTTTGTGTGTGTGTTTGTGTGTGTGTTGCTCAATCACGCATAAACTACTGGACGGATTGGGCTGAAATTTGGCATGATGATAGCTCACATTCCCGATTAACATTAAAGCATATTCTTATCTCTAAAACCCTTTCGGGCTCCGCCCCAGTGGCTCTATAGTTCCCCATTTTAATCTTATGATTTTTCATATTTAAAAGGAATTAATGAATCTTAACAGCTGTTTCAATTAAACAAGTTGGTTCTGTTCTATGATGTTCAATAGCATAAAAGTTAAAAGGATTACCAACAGGGTGCAGCACTATTAATTTTTTTAAATATATGACAACAGCTAATTTCCAACCAAAAGGTGAGTGAGCGTAGCGAACGAACTTCAACCTGGAGGCGAGTTAGCGTAGCGAACGAGCAAACCTGAAGGCAAGTGAGCGCAGCGAACGAGCTCCAACCTAAAGGTGAGTGAGCGTAGCGAACGAACTTCAACCAGGACGTGAATGAGCCATGCGAATACTTATGAAGTTAAACGGGGCGAAGCCCGCGGGTACAGCTAGTTAAACATATACTGCATTACATTATACTTTTATAAACCCTGCTTTCTTTTGAGGTGCAATGTGATTGGAGATTTTAAAGCTGGCCTTTGTCCTATTGGCGCAAGTTTAGGATCTCCTAATAACCAATGATAATTTATTATTCCTAAATTGAATTGTTATATTTAGTTCTTTATGGAGAAATCATTTAATCAATGAATTACAATGTTATTCTGACATGCTTAAATAAACTAAAACTAAAATAAGGTTTATGCTTAAATAAACCTGTCTAAGATTTGCGAGCTAGTATCCAACGAAATAGGGGAACGAGCTGGTCTAGTGATGGAGCTCGGGACTTCAGAGCCAGAGGTCCTAGGTTCAAATCCACCAATCACCATTGAATTTTTTCTATGTGATAATGCGCAACCCTCTATGACTAGCCTGAAGTAACGTGTAAAACAGTTTCTGGCTAGAACCTAGCGTCCAAGGATGTGAAGGTGGGACATACAAAAAAAGTATCCAACAAAACAAGAAGACAATTTTAAAGACAAAGTTAACACCCAAATAAGACCGGTAATAGTAGTTTACGCAACGATTGCGTTAAGTGAGTCTTTACGACACGAGTAGAAAATTTAAGGCACGAGCCTTGGCGAGTGCCTTAAAAACTTCTACGAGTGTCGTAAAGACTATTAACGCGAGTTGCGTACACTACTTTACCTACGACCGTTTTTTAATTACTATCAATCTGGATTTAATTACTAACAATAACTACTGATAACTTTTTAGAGAGGTTATGTATTCGTGTATTGTCATTGCCACTGAAAGTGATGCAACGACTTGTTGTATAATCAGCTGATTTCCTGTAATTACGTGTTTGTTAAACTTCGTTAAATATTACATTGCTAGCAGCATTCTTATCATAAATAATATTGTATCAGGTACAATTCGGTAAATATTTCATTTATTTTTGGACTTCCACCAACTTAATTAAGAATACGCGAGTATCAACATGAACAAGTCGGATCAACAATTAAATTGGTCAACTGATCAGCTGATCAGCTGATTAGTTGACGTTCGAAGCATTACAATTTTAATTCTTTTCTCTCAATACTTGAACCTCATTGGTCCGTTACCTGTGTGGATATGAGAAAACTATGCGGATATGAAATGAAACTATGCGGATATGAAAGTAAACAGCTGTAAAGTGAAACTTTTCAATTCTAAGAACTGGACTGAAATGGCTACTTTAAAAAACGGTCGTAGGTAAAATATATTTCAACCCCAAAAGCTTTTAAAACCTAAGTATTGTAAAATCCAATTCCCAAATAATCGAATTCTTTTGAATATTCAAATAGTAAAACCATATTCAACGATAACAATTAATTATGATGGAATTATTCCGTCCCACAGGTGTGCATCATAAGGTGTTGAATTGATAAACTGTTCATCTTGAAACACAATAGGCCTATATAGCGACAGCACCTCGCTGAGTCTTTGTGTTCCATCTGGGATTTAGTACATAATATAATAACAGTTTTGAACTGCTTTTGAATCGAATTGTCCTTTAGCGAAATGCAATATTGTAAATCGATGAGCAATATCTTCTATGCCCATTCTTTCTACATGTAAATTTGAGGTTTAGGTCCCTTCAGGTTCTCAAACATCAAAAATTGGCCAAAAGTGACAGCTGTATCCAGATATATAAGTTATGAACGCCAGAGTTCTATAAGTATGAGATACGAGTATTTTCGTGCTTCCACCTGATGCCTCCTTAACTTATCAAAACAAACATGATTGGAAATGTCAGGTACTTCTAGAGGAATAAGGGTAGACCAAAGTTTTGCTGTAATACTATGATCAACGTAAAGTCATGTACATTATTTTAATGTATATTACGACAATTTTCAACTATTTATAACTACTTCCCTAGTTAACGCCTTCATTTTACATTAAACATTTCTATAAAGAGAAAATACAGTGAAGAAAGTAACAGTTGGAAAATTAAGAAAATTATTCTAAGGTTTAAAATGTTTTGAAGTCCCTAACATTATTGTTCCACTGGTGAAGTTTTATAAAAACGTCTTCTCAATACAAACGATTAAAATAATTTTAGCTAATCCATAAACATGAAATATTTGTTAGTAGGGATTTTCATATAGATGAAACATCGA